GTGGGGAAAAAAGGTGATGGACTCTGTTTATTATCCTATGTGGTATTTTTATGCGGAAGCAGTGCAAAAAAAAAATGGGCTTCTTTCAAGCTATCAGGTTTTACCTCTCTAGGAGACATAGTACATTTTCTCATTATGCATTATTGATTTCATTAATTAGTCAAGTGCACATTTAAACCAAACTCTTGATTCTTTAATTATGTACTTGTTTAGTTTGTTTCTTAACTTGATTTTATACATACATTTATTTTTTCCTTGTCATTTGGACAATAAGAATAGAGATAGAAATAAGAACTCTCTCATGAAGGAAATGTCCTTGCATTTCTGTGGATTCAGCACACAGAGACAAAAAAAAAAGGCTTGAGGGAGTCAAATTCTTTCTAATGCTTCTCAAATATTTACAGGATATAGAATGTGGTATTTAAGAGCTTAGGACTTAAGACAAGATATACAGAATCCATAGACAACAGAATTTGTTAACTCACATTCAGAATTAGCTCAGCAATGGCTTCTGGTTTGTGATCGCAGCGCCAGCGGATGTGCGATGAGAGCACTCTCTCCGCCGTCCAGTTTCCCTTCGTTGGAAGACCCTGGAAAAGGTCGAAAGTTGCCCTGGAGGGGCGACCACCGCTGAGGAGGGCCCTTGACAGATCGCAGAAGGGCGGCAGCCCTTCCGTTTGATCCAAGGCAGCTCCTTTGGACCAACAAAGAAAAGATCGGCCATTAACATAGCCGATCACTAAGCCATTCCAGCCAAAAGCCAAAAGCACTACCAAGCACAACGAAAGCAACGTGGAGGAATTGGGTGAGACCTTACCTTACCTTTCTTGCTTCCCAACTACTTTCCTGTAAAAGCCTTTCCCCCCTTCTTAATTTGGCGGCTTCTGCCTACTCTGGGAATATAAAGCTATGGAAAACAAAGCAAAAAAACCCAACTAAAATAAATGACTAAATAATTGGACTTGAAATTTTTGGATACCTGGGGTCCCATAAGGTTTCTATTCCTACAGAGACTTATTATCTTACCTATCTGTTAAGCTGGGGGGAAAAAGAATATTTCTTTTTTTAAAAACTGGATAAAAGCCTAACTTGAGGTTGGGAAAAGATTTTACAAGTTACCGGGGACATCTTGTAGCAAAATTTGGTACAGCAAGTGATTTTTTTTCTGACTGGGAGATCTGTGAGACTAAGATAAGAACTTGAAACAGCTGGGTGGTGAAAACAACTCTCTATAGTGGAGGTGGACATTTATTGACTTTTATCAAAAATAAAAGGGGCTCAGGGGCTGCCACAAACAAGAGGGAGTCAAGCTATTTTCAAAAGCACCTGAAAGCTGGACAAGGAGCAATGGGTGGAAGCTAACCAAAGAGAGAAGCAACCTAGAACTAAGGAGAAACTTCCTGACAGTTAGAACAATTAACCAATGGAACAACCTGTCTCCAGAAGCGATGAATGCGCCAACACTGAAAGTTTTTAAGAAGAAACTGGACAGCCATTTGTCCAAAATGGTATAGGGTTTCCTGCCTGAGGGGGTTGGACTAGATGACCTCCAAAGTCCCTTCCAACTTTATCATCATTATAGAATCATTATAGCCTCCACTAAAGGACTATCTGTAAACACCACAGAAATGGAGGAATACTACCCACAACTTAACTACAAACTTATACTTGAAAAAAATCCTAGAGGCTACTGAGCTAATGAATTCCAGACTGAAAGATTTCAACTGACGAATTTACAACTCAAAAGGCAACAGAAGAAGGAGGAATTAACACTAAAGTGGACTTTAAAGAATACCAGCCACAACCTACTGAGAACCCTGATAACCAAACCTTGATTTTAACTAAAAAGTCTGCAATTCTAACAGCAACAGAAACTGAAGAAAGCAACACTAAGATGGAAGGTGCTGAAGACCTACATATCCAGCACACTGAGAATTTAGATAACCCAGACAACCAAACTACAACTACAACATTGAATATGAATTTTTATTTAAATCAGCTGAAACCGGAAGAAGAAGAAGAGGACCAGTCTGAACTGATGACAAATATACTAAGCCAAACATGGAGACTCAAATTATTAGGCCAACAATCTAATGACTATGAAGGGACCAGCTTCCTTGAAAAATTGATAACTGGATGGTCTCCCCTGATTCAAATGACATGTGTAAGAATGAAGGGAGATCCACCTGAGGATCTAAAGGCACTGCCATGGAAGCCTGTTTGGCACAAAAGGAAAGCCAGAGTCAGACTTAAAAAAAGGGATTTCTTTATGTGACCTTTAATAGAAGAGTCTAAAATCTCATTTAATGGGCTAAGGAGATTTTAAAAGACATTAACTGATTTAATATTTAGGATTTAGACCTATAAGGGAACTAAAAACTAGCTATTAGAATAATAGCTTTGAATTATAATATAGAAGATGGATTGAGACGACAAAGGTTATTTTATTAGTAAGTGATGATATTAGGATGAGAAATAGAATATGATTGTGAAAATAAGTAAGAATTTACTTGAGTAAATAATAAGTGTATCTTAGACATGATAACTATTTTGTAATGAACTAAGGAAACCGTGGGCTATCCAAAACCTAAATACTAAGGACATTAATCTAACTGGAATACTGTAACTGAAATTAGATAAAAGATAAAAACAGGACATGGAGGCATATAAGTCAAAAGATATTGATAATTGTTTTAACTGATTGAGTTATAACTAGCAATGTATTAATTTGAATGTGATATAATAACCAAGGGAAACAGAGGAAATTTTTGATGATGTAACCTGACATATGTATGAAAGAGCTTGTTATTGGACTATGGATTACCCAATCAACATGTTGGTTCCTTAATACCTGGAGCTTTGTAAAATTGAAAAAATAATAAAACTTGGTGTGTTGTTTTTTTTTTAAAAAAGAATTAGGTCAGCAATATTCTTGAAGGGAATGCTGGCTAATATAGTTTAAGTAGATAATATAGGTGACTGATGAACAGCAATTTAGTCTCCAATTATCCCAGCAAGGGGAATAGAGGTGATGGCAGTGAATTAACACAGAGACCAATTCTCAACTCATGCCTGGAAGTAGCCAGGGAAGGCAATAGACACACTAAAGAAGCTTTCCAGAATGGGGCAGTTGTGGCTGGCATGTACATACTAATAACAATCATCCCTACAGACCCTCATACATCAAAACCATGTACACCTCAAGGTGGACCTAAATCACCACAATGCCTTGCACAAACAGTCATAAAAGTGCAGCTTCATGAAACTGGTCCTTTTTTAATCTTCTCAGAGGGCTTAAATATAATTGGAACAAGAAAAAGAATAGCCACATGAAATACCAGCAGAATCAGTGCAAAATATGAAGGACAGCCATTTGTGAAAATATATTATCCAGGTAGATGCAGAAAGCATGCATCCCATCTTGCTTGCTGCCAAGCTAAAATGATCTTGGAAGTTTTTATATATCTCAATTTTATTCTGCAGAATAAGATCACTTGGAAATTATTCCTAAAACAAGCCACCACAAACAAACATTTATATACAAGGTCACAAATACCAAGCAAACATCAGGTAGTCTTAGAAATTAGAAACAACAAGCAGATATTTCGCCAACAAGCATTTCTTATCAATAAAACAAATTTGAAGGGATGCTGCCAGAATAGAAAATTCGTAGGAGAGTTAAGGCCTTCCTTCATATTTCACAGAGGCCCAGTTATTTGCCTTTATTACTTTATGAGAGGGTGTGTGCGATGGCTCAGTGGTTAAAGATGCTAAGCTTGTCAGCTGGAAAGCTGATAACCCAGGGATGAGACCCAACTGCCACGAGACGGGGTGAGCTCCTTTTCCTGCCCCAGCTCCTACCCACTAGCACTTCAAAAGCATGCAAATGTGAGTAGATAAATAAGTACCACTTTGATGGGAAGGTAATAGCATTCTCTGTGCCTCGGCATATTAGCCATGCTGACCACATTACCATGGAAGTATCTTTGGACAAGGCTGGCTCCCTCAGCTAGGAAATGGAGATGAGCACTGATCCCCAAGAGTCGGACATGACTGGACAGGGGAAACCTTTACTTTTATTACTTTATAAGTAGCTTAAAACACTTAACAACTGAAGAAAGGTCGTAAAATGGGGCAAAACGTACTTACCGTAACAAATGTCTCACTTAGCAACAGAGGTTGGGTTCAGTTGTGGTCATAACGTAAGGACTACTTGTATTTCTTCCTCCTCCTATTTTCCCCACAAAAATAAACTTGTGAGGTAGGTTGGGCTGAGAGAGTAACTGGCCCAAGATCACCCAGCCACCTTTTGTGCCTAAAGTAGGACTAGAACTCTTAGCATCCTGGTTTCTAGGTCAGAGGAAATTGGGGTTCCAGCTAAGATTATTCAAAGACAAAATTATGAAGATTTTCCAGAATCCCACTTTTTTTTCCCCTCACAGGACTTTGGGGGTTAGTAAACAACGCAGGCATTGGTTATCTAGTTGGTCCCAATGAGTGCCTGAGGAAGGAGGACTTCGCCAAAGTGCTGGAAGTCAACTTACTTGGGCTGATTAACATGACACTTCACATGCTACCCCTGGTGAGGAGAGCCAGAGGGAGAGTGGTCAACTTGTCTAGTGTGCTGGGAAGACTGGCAATCTCCGGAGGTGGGTATTGCCTCTCCAAGTTTGCTGTGGAAGCCTTTTCGGACTCTCTGAGGTAAAATGTAAACTTAATAGCTATTTTTTCATGTTTAGCAGCAAATTATTTTCCCCTGCTACATTTGAAGCAGCAAAGCACTTAGTTGTTCTGGCCTATATTTATAGTGGGAACATGTTTGAGATAGACATTTGGCCTGCCTGTGGCAGTCCTGCAGCTTTCAAAATGTTCATGCAGTTGCATGTGCA